TATTTTCTCTCTTAAATTCAACTACTAGGATTAGCACTAGTGAGAGTGGCTGCTGCGAAAAGTCACAGTTCCATGGATTCCTTCCAGCAGATTGATAGTAAAGATTCATCGCATAAGCATCGTGTGTTTGTACAGTGTTTAGTTCAAAACAGACACCTCCTGGCTGAATTGGCCTGCAATCAATCTGCTGGCCACATGCATAGTTAATATTTCCCTGCAACTGAGCATCAGAGATGCCAGTTTTGGGCACACATCAAGATCCTGTTGCTTTCGGTGTTGGAGTTGGTGTTGCTTGAGTTGCAGGATTCGAAGGAGTTGTTGGAGTCTACATGAGAATATGTTATTCGTCAAAGTTTAGGTAAAAAAACATACGGATTGGACGGATGGATGAATTATTGCCTCACCTGTGTGTTCTTTAGGAGACCGACGTCATAACTTGTGGAACCATCAGGCTTGAAAAGTCCAAAATATTTCTCTGAGCTTGGCCCCGGTTTTTTATTCTCATCATAAAGTGAAAAAAAGTAGGTGTCAATTGATTTTCCAGGCATAAGTGGGGTGCCAACTTTTGATTTGAGGTGGTTTATCAAGTTTCCAACATAGGTTTTTGCATTGTCCAAGCTTGGACCGACTTCATTGGGGTCTCCTCCGTGAGGCCACCCAGTCTCAGCAGCTACGATCTCAATATCCTTAAATCCCATTGCATTTATGGCCGAGTGCATAGTATCAACCTACGCGGCATAATTTCCAGACCATGTGAAAATATTAGCATTCCAAATGAAGATAACCGTAACAATGCAATCAAAACATCGCAATTAGAAGGGGATAATCTACCATTGACCTAACAGCCCATCATAGCCTTCTATGTCAAAAGAGAGAGAAACACTCTTTTTTTTCTCCTTACAACCACAATTTGATCAAATAGGTGACACGAATCTCAGTAACTACCAGTTTCAAAAACGATTAGCTCAAATAATTTGCCTGTGCGTCAAACATATTTGTGTACTTGAGGCCATTTCCAGAGTCAACTTGCCCTGCATTAGGTTGGAACAGGCAGAATGCCAACGTATCGGGCGTTGGCTTGTTTTTGTAGGCAAAGTAAGGGTATGGACTAATTGAAGCAACGCCTTCATTGTGTCACCTAATCCAGGGTTGAAAACTCCTGATGAGGGAAGATATGACTGACTTAACACCCCCATTGCATGTACCGTTGAGACCTTAACTTTCCCACCCAATTAAGTTGCAATTCACATTATAAATATAACAGTTTTGTTACACTTAATCTGAGTTGACATCCTGGATGATATTCCATGATGTGACAATCAATTTTGCCATTGATTTCTCTAACATTTAAATCAATGGCCTCGATTTTTACTCCTAATGGGATGTCATCCAAGATGTCCACATTGAATATACGAGTAGATTAACCTAAATAGAATATTATTTAAAACAATGTTTTCTTCTACAGAAGTTTTATCAGCTTATAGATATAGCTAAATAATTTATCGGCATTCAGGGCATTTTGGACATTTTGCATTGCTGGCAAGAGTTGAGAGATGAGATTTTGATCTCCTGATGTCAATACCTCATTACCGACGGTGACGGCAAGAATATTGCTCGCTGGATTGAACGCCATCCCATTGGATTTCACCAATTGACTTGCCACCTTAGGGTTGGATGCTAGCATTGGATATCACAATTCCAATGCCGGTGTTTGCAAGCGCTTTAATGACTGCTGGCTTAGCACCGAAGAGCCTAACGTTTTGGATGGTTGTGGACACAAAAGGTTCACCGTCGCCTGAAGCGAAGGCAGGTTGTCTCTAAATTTCCCATAATTTACTCCAAAAATGATTGTGAATCTATGAAATATAAAAAGGAAAGGGGTTAACACGAAGTTAACTCATTGGACAAGACATTAGTAATAGTACGAGAAATTCACATATTTTTTATGATTTATCGTACAGCTGCTAGAAGGCCACTTTCATGTCGCATGTATGAAGAAAATTGGATGTACAATTATAGAAAAAAAAAAGTGTAGTGCTATTCGTGCATCATTGTCCATAATGGTGTACTAAAGATGATATGAAAGAGAGAGAATGATATTATAATAATTGAATTTTTATTCTTTCCGTCTCTTTTTTTCTATTTCTTTCTCTTACTTGTCATTTGTTTGTACACTATTATGTACATAATGATGTACAAATAAGAGAAATTCAAACAAGAAATTTCGGACAAGTGCAGCATTGAATTACAAAGTAAATGAGCTTACTTGCAGAATAAAAGTTTTGTAGTAAAGGGAAAACCAGGAAGAGTAGAGAAGATGTTTGCACATTTGCAGCCATGTGTATGGCTATCTGCGTCAGGTTAAGAATAAGTTGGAAAATGAAAATAATTGTTTTTTGAGACTTGGAGGGTTTGTAGAGCACCCCAAAGACAACCATATTTATATACAATCCTGTCCAACCGTAATCTAAAACCTAGGAAAAAATGAGGTACTACCTTGCCTAAAATAAAGGATATTGTCGAAACAGATAACAGTAAATAGCGATGCACCTTTTTTCTATAGAATTAATCTACTCTACCAGGCCTGTAAAAGGCCTGGTAGAGCAAAAGCTCTCACATGAGGTGGGTCCTCGGAACCCACCTCATTAAAAAACCCCCCCAAAATGTATAAACACCCACCCCCCCACCTCACATTTGCACTGCCAGGCCTTTTA